CTGCCGCCGAACGAACGGATGCGGGAGAGCCTGCACAGGCTTGGAGTGCCGATCCTGCAGAGCAGTCTGTCCACCATCGTGAGCATGATCCCGCTCACTTTCATCTACTCCTACATCCTCAAGGTGTTCTTCACCCTCAGCTTCCTCGTGATGTCCATCGGGACGATCCATGGGATCGTGTTCCTTCCAATCCTCCTCTCCGTCGTCGGGCCGGGTGCCTGTTCGAAGAAGGGTGAGGAGGTGGACGAGGAGGATGGGAGTCATCCAGGGGAGGATATCGCCGGGTCGTGGAAGGATCACGAGGTCGCGGTTACGAAGGTGGGGATAATGGTGCATCGTCGGTGTAAGTCCTTGGATGTCTCTGCTCTCAGGGGTGACGCGGCGAAGAACGGGTTCATCAACGAGGCTTTCGTGAAGGAATCTCCAGAGTGGTCCCATTTGTGATTGCTTCAGTGGTTTTTTTTTTCTTCGCATTCGTCATATCTTGTCTGTGATTTCACGTTATGTGAAGTGTCGTCTTCCCTCGAGTCTCCCCGGTCGTTGTAACTTTTTTTTGGGTGGGAAGCATGAACATCTTCTCTTGGAGATTCACTCACCGGCAATTCACAGTCAATATTCATCACCAAAGCTGTATATCGGACGTGAATGAATGCAGCGATACTTATTTTCCCGCTGAAAATCTCGATGGTTTTATTGAAGATATTGAATGTTCATTTTGATCATATATACATTACGGACAGGCAAATTGTCACTTCGATTCGGATTGATCAGCTACAAAATTGTCTTTTTCTCCTCAGGAATGATTAGAACCCTTGCCGTTTCTGTCCCTAGAAAAAAAAATCACAGACATGTAGTCGTTCTTTTGTTCGATTTCTCGGGAAAAAAATTCCTCACCATTCAAATTCCTATATAAAATTTTAAGTCTCCATCGATACATTTAATTTACTTCGACGCGATTTTTCCTGAAGATTATTTTCTTTAGGCCAGTCCTGGATCGATTCGAGGCGCAAGGAAGTGGCTCATTATTTACGAAAGAGTTATAAATGAGAGAAAAGCAACATATAGTCCTACGTTGCCCGGTACAAATTCGAGTAAGGTGAAACGAAGCATACTCTAAACGTTTTGGTCTCGAATCGGGGAACCCTTGATAAGCACGCTAAAGGGAAAGGCAATATTTTAAAGATGACTGGCACTTCTTCAACGCGTTGTATAGGGACTCCAAACCTGGAATCTCAATTGTGGCTCTCCGTTCTACCATGCCATCGCAATTAGTTCGCGGTATCCTTCCCTCGGTTTAGGAAAAAAGCCACTCGGAAATAAGACTCCCAGAATTCGCAAAGGCAGAAAAGTGTCATCCCGTTATGTTTAGGTTAGATCAGGGGTGTCAAACATACGGCCCGCGGGCCGGATCCGGCCCGCGGAGGTAGTTCATTCGCCCCGCCGTCTGTTTTTGAAATTTTCCCCTTGGATTGAGTGTCAGCACAAGTTTCGGTGAAATATTATGGGTGCGGCCCGCAGGCATCTGCAGGGTAAGGAATGCGGCCCGGCGACCGGTTTGAGTTTGACACCCCTGGGTTAGATTAAAGACTCATTCTTGCGACATTAAGTGATATTGATGTCTTGTAATTTGATCAACTTCACTGGAATGCTATGAAAAATAAAACAAGTCCAACCTTAGCACATTCCTTAAAAATGTATGCCCAACCCCCCGAAGGAAATATTTTGGTTGTGGCCGTGTTGCAAGATGAGATGATTGCACTCTCTGAACAATTCTTGGAATTTGTTCTCAAATAACAATTGCTCTGGGGTCATGTAGGGTTTTTTTGTTTAATTTTATCTCCCTCCTATCCACTTTCAATCCTTTTTCCAGGGGGTGGTGAGGATCAGGATTAGCTCCCTTCCTCAATCCACCCCCTTGAACCACCCATCACCTCCATCTCCGCCCCCACCCCTCCTCCCCCATGAGGTCTGTTCAAGCATTGCATTGAGATGAGTCCATGTTCATCGTTGAACTGGGTCCTTCTTCCCTTCATAATGAAGTAGGAAAATATTTTTTTTATAGATTTAAATAAGTGCTTCCAATCGAGCTTTTCACCTTCCATCTTTTTTTTTCTCAAAATAGAAAGGAAAAATCAGTAATTTGTTACTTGAATCATTGGGGGAAGTTCACCCTTAAATATTACAAACATGGATAATAATCAGCCTCATCTTTGCATGAATGTGTCTCAACATCGCCAAGTGAATGTCTTTAATTATCTGATATTTATAAATATGTAAATAATTACAAAACAGCCACCCGGGCGGCTTTATTGCATTTTAATATTGGGGGAGCTTTTTCCCGCTTTTTTCAATTCTGGGGGCACTTTTTCCGTGTGGCTTTTTCATCTATTCTCTTCCCTCCCCCTCCCCTTCCCCCCTCCCCCTTTTTTGATAAATTTGATTAACTATAAGAGATGGAGCCAGGGTTGAGGAAGGAAGCGTGAAAGTTTCTTCTTGGGATGTACCCATATGACAGCACAGAGGAAGAACTTCGTATTAAGGAACTCGTAGGACTAAGGTTGGTTACATGCGATAGTAATCATCTACTAAGGCAGTTGGTTACTATCGCATGTAACTCCAATGGAGGATCATCTCTGCTGGACAGGAGTCTTGCTTTTCTGCCCTTCGAGACTGCAAGGGCTCTTTTGTTGGTTAATTGGCTAATGTTAATTTTATGCTTTTGTTGCGTATTCCTACTTTTTGCAAAATTTTTCTCCTGAGAACTGTTTGAGATTTTTCCATGAATCCATTTACTTAAGATTTCCTAGATATTATGCAGGTATTGGCATAGACTACAAAGTGTAAAAAGCAGCGTTAATGTTTAAAAGTTGGAGTAAATGATATATTTATCATTAAATTGTTCTCTCACTTAAGAATCCCTTTAAGTTCAGGAATTAATTTGGTGTTTTCAGAGAAGGATGTGGAACGGACAGACCGGACAGTTCACTTCTATGAGGGGAAGGGAAATGGTAACTTGTTGATGTTGAAGGACATTTTGAAAACATACATAATGTGGAACTTTGACCTGGGCTATGTCCAGGGAATGTCTGACCTCCTCAGCCCCATCCTATTCATCATGGAGAATGAGGTTGATGCCTTCTGGTGCTTTGTGGGCTTCATGGACATAATGGTACGTTTTATTGTCCCTTCACACTTGTCAACAATGGCTCTTGGATCCACTTCCCAATCCTGTTTCCCATCAACAGCAGGACCAGATTTTGACGTTGTGGGGGTTAAGCATTAAGTGGCAGCATACGAGGAGCGATCAAAAAAATTCTAGCTCGAGGCAGTTTTCATATTGCCATTTGCACAAGAGGGAATGAAAGTACCTCCACTTCCCTATTCTTAGATTCTACATTAGAAAGAAGTTAATTTCAGTATTGGAAATCCAAAACCTTGTTCCTTCTCTCAAAATATAATTTCACATTAATTCGGAGCAATAGACAAGGAAAAATATTTATAGGAAACCGTTTGGGGTGGATTGCATGAAACTGACTTTAGCCTAATGGAGTCCCTCTGTCCCCTCCCCCTTCAGGCAAATACGTCATCAGAGACCTGGAGTTCTCAAGCTTAGAGGCATAAGCAGGCTGCGGGCCGACTATGTCAGCCCAACACGATCCGCGGCTCGGAGCAGCAAAGCTCGGTCGACGATCGCGTTCCGGGTCGGGTGCGGGCCACGATTCCAATCGGGCCGATCGAGTTTCAACTCGGAAAAGTTAACCCGTGCAGAAAGACAGGAGAACCCGTGGAAACCACATTCGCAGCGTACTTTTTGGACTTTTGACGCAGTAAGTATCGCCTCCAGGTCATGAGCTTTCGTTTGACACCTCTATTATTGAAATCCATCAAGGAGGAGTTTACCAGAATGACAGACTGACAGATTAGTCTCTTATGTATATGGTTGCAATTGAATTATTCCTTTGGCTTTAATTGGTGTGGTAGAATTGATTCTTTGTTTTTGTTCTACTGGCAGCACGTGAATGAAATGTCATACCGGATCGATGTGGAGAAGCTGCTTGCTGAAGCCGAGGAACTATACCTGCAAGTGCAGAATGCACAAAATCTTCCTTCACGTATCGCAGAGATTCTTGGCCTTGAAATTCTCTTCATCAGCTGCAGGTGTCATCAGTCTACCAAGACAGAAGAAGAAGTCTGATGAGTTCCCCAGGAACTTCAGATGAGGCAATAGGATCGAAATGAGCTTCCAAACGAAGCAACTTCTGTCTCCTGTATTGCACGACTCGATAACGGAAGATCGCAAGAAGACTCCCCACAGCCCTCGCACAAAGGCTTCACCTTCCCCCTTTCATCCGCGTCGCACGTGTTGACACGGAAACGCCCTTAACGAATCCCATATCAGTCCAAACACGCTTAAATGGATGTTTGTACATACATGTGGGAATGGGACTCCGTTTCGGCTGAATGGAATAATCTCAAGGCAAGGACAACTGCAGCCTCCAATCCTCCCTCTTCAGCCTCTTTTTCCACTCCTGAATCCTCGTAGGGCCGCCAATACTGCGGCGGCTGCTTATCCTGTGACGGTTGTCTGTTTTGTTTTGCGACTGGTGCCCGTCGTGAGACGGTTCTAGACTGTAGAAGGCGACAGTGGAACAATTATGCCTGCAATTGATGGAAATTTTGCGACTTTCCCCTTCCGTTCGCGAGTTGAAATTCTCCTGCTTTAATAATGTGAAATTCATCGTTTCCACAAGTCATCAGGTCTTGAAGTTTCCGCCCCCCTTTCGCAGCTCGATATTTCATCAGAGGACTAGGACCCCCAGTTGACCCAGATATCGGATCCATCGATTCCGAATCCGTCCACAAAAGGCAGCAGCGAAAAAATTGACAGGAACGCCGATCGCATATACATGCGCGATACCCTATAGAGACTCCATGAATGAGTTCCTTTCCAAGAGTGCGATGAAGGTCGTCCAGTCAGGGGGAAAAATCACAAACACTCGCGACACTCGTGGAGTCTCCGGAGTGCTTTCTACGCGTCTCAGCCACCGCATGAACCGTGAGTTCCATTACAAATCGACTTCATTAGTTTAGTGTAGAATATTGCGGAAGCAGTCGAGAAGTTTGAAGAGAGACGTTGATTAATATTCACGGAAGCCCGTTCCTAAGTTTCCACTAGCAATCGAGTGGTGAATCTGGACGAGCATGCATGTATCAGTATCGTCTCTTAGTCTGCTCATACGCGATGATGGGGAATTGACAGATTTTCCTGGATAGAGTTGTCAAATTTAGCCTTCGACCTCAGCATAAACATCGAATCCAGAGTCAGAATCAGTCTTTAGAAGCATCAAAGGCAAAAATGGAAGAGGCGAGCTGTGGGGGGGATGGAGACGAGTAAGGGGACGGGGGAGGGCCTGCCAATCGCGTTTTAGGCTCCAACATGCAAACAGACCGCTGCCGGTGTGAGCGGTACAAATCCCTAAGGTACAGGGTTAATTTTCAGTGTTGTTGATTTTCATGAGCTCTTATTTTATGAGAGCTCATGACTACTGATTTTATTGAGTAATTGCTCAACTTAAGGCTAAAGCTTTGCAGTTTTATCGATATCAAAGAAATTAGACACTGAAATTATGCTACAATGTGTCCAAGATGCCCTCCGTTTTGATTTCAGCATTCCCACAGTTTCACCTTGTCTCCATGAATTTAGTCACTATCCACACCCTTCGCTCTAGCAAATATTGACCCCTCGTGATAACAAATCTCCAACGAAACAAAACAAAACTGCACAAGACGAGCTTTCTGGAAATGCGTCACTCAACGCTCTCCGTTGAAAATTGTTTGCATGGTGAGCCATCGAAATCTGTAACATTGAGACTCATCACCCAGTAGAAATTCACGTGTTTTCCATTTCTATCGTCGGCATCCCTTCGAAGAAGGGCCCACTGGGCTAAGGAGAAAGACAACTGATGGCTCTGAAGTCGGCATACAGGCGAAGGCGCTTTCAGTTCGGAGCGCCATACCGTGCTTGACACGATGTGGAGCAAGGCAGTGTGGATGCACAGTTCGGCGTAGGTCGGTGCGACTCGCAGAATCGGTATCTTCACGCCACGTCCTTGCGAGAGGTCGGTCAGGCGCAGCTTTACCACGTCATCAAAGGGCATCATGATAGGCCTTTATTGCCCTATTTTTCAGCCCCGAAGCCACACGGGAACGAGAGGTCTCTGAATACGTGCTCTTGGTGCGAGAGGCCAAAGTCATGCCTCGTGGATCCTGCAAACGAACGTCCGTGATGTAGGCTAAAAGTGCCGAAGCTATGATGTAGGCCAAGGGTTTGATCGTAGCTTAGGCTAGGCTTTCGATACCCCTACAACTGTATCTGCTGTTACAGCTAATAACTTCTAATGTTTTCCTAGAAACGCCAGATCTGTCATCTGCCAGTCATCTTAAAGAAGTTGTTTTTCCTTCCCATCAGCGTCGTCCGAGAACGTCCCACTGATGTGACGACGTCGGAAAATGATCCGCTTTTCCACGTGATCGAGCACAGGTTGAAATTGCTCCGTTGATGCCTGTGGGCCACGTCTCTGCGACGTTTTTGCGTGCAAGTTGCACAGAAGGCATACTTAGGTCTATTAGTAGTTGATTGGACTTGTGGGACTTCCCCAAAAGTCTCACGTTCGGTTCCTCGAAGAAACACCCGAAAGGACTCTCATAGACTTGACAACAACATCGTTTCTACTGCAGGAGTATTTCTCCAGCGAGAGATTATCGAAGTTATTCTGAAAACGGTAGGTGCTTGAGCGGTCTCGAGACTCAGAAATATTCCTTTCGAGCCAATGATCCTTTTCCCTCGATGCGTTCCTTTCCGATTTGTTGGAACGGAAAGCCCAGCACACGTGAACGAGGCAAGGCCTCCCTGCCTCCATCGTCGTTTCACCCGCAGCCCGCTTAGGCCTCTATGCATTCACTCGCACACGACCGGAAAACCGATTGCCATTCGAGCCGCACGCACGATCCAAGGTCGGCTCGACTCAATGTAGTCGATCCGCATCCCGTTCAGAGCTCTAATTATTGTACATATTGTTCCTGATGCCGGGTCCTTGATTTTTCATTTCATACACAGAGATGAAGCTTAATGTATTCTATAGATACACTGTGTCGAAAAGAAAGCACTTTTTAAAATTACATTTTTATCCGTTATTGTGCAAACTAGCCACACGTGACATGTCCAATATCCAATGAGTAAGAGAGATTTATGCCTTGTTACAAAAAGTTCACACACTGCCTTAATACAACAATTTCTTCAGTTGACCTTCCGAAAATCCGAGGGAAAAAAGAAGCAACTGCGCGCTGCTCCTCTCAATGTCTCCGTGCAGGTTGTTTCTATAACAATGTCGAAATCCACAATGTCGTCAGATTTTATGTCGACTAGTGAAAACGTGGTATGCCACACGACGTCCAACGGGCAATGGTCTAATGGGCATTATGTCGATTGTTACAATGCCGAAGGCGTCGAAACGTGGAATCTTCAAGTTGTTGATATCCGGTTCTTCTTTTCCGTTCCTTCGGTCCCGACATGATCGAGGAGAGTATATTTTCGTAAGCCCCTGAGGCAGCAAAGACCGTCTCGTCCGCTTTATCACCCGTCGGCATCAGCGTCGGCGATTGTATCAATAACGAGCGCACTCATTATCTGTCGGTCGAATCGGGGTCGCAGCCATCACGGAGTACGTGCATTCCCAGAAAGGTAACTGATTATCCGTACTTCTTCGTGGGTAATTTATTCCCGCGTGAAAAGTGTAAGAAAGGCGAACGTGCAGAAAGGTGCCAGAACCGAAATTGCCACGCACGTGCCGTTTTGACTCTTAGCGACGAACTGATGTTGGAAGTGCAGGACCCTCGTGCACCTGGAACACAAAAATTCGGCCATGTGCGCCGAGTTTTGCGCGTTATCTCCGAGGAGAAATTTAAAGAGATTTTAATTTCCATCGATTTCTCGAAAATGCTGCTGGATTTTCCCACTCGCCTAGTTCCATCTATACAATAATAGCGGATGTCCTCCAACTGTCCGCCGGAGGCCTGCGCGGGTGCACTTTTCTGAACCCGATCGGTTCGATCCGAGTCGGGGTCCTACCCGACCCGAAACTCAATCGCCAGACCGAACTTTGCGGACCCCACCCGCGGATCGGCCTGCCCGCAGCCCGCTCAGGCCTCTAAGATTCAGAACTCCGGGTTCGTCCTTTTTTATTTAACAGGCTTTGCTGCCTCTGCTGACGCTTCCAGCTATCTCATGACGTCACGTTCGTGCCTGGCTGTTCAGTGCTCTCATGATTCGCGACGTTCCGCTGCCAGCTGCTAGCCTGAGAGCGACATCATTTCATGACGTGAACGCGTCGAGCGCTGACGTAACGAGGTATCCGTTTTGCCAGCAGCTGTAAGCGGCTGGAGAAAAAGATCCCTCTGATAGAGCATTCGCCTGCACCCAACAGGAATCTCGATTGTCAACCGAGCTGCTGGCCCGACCCGCGGGTCGGGTTCGTCTAATAGAGCCTTAACTCATCCCGGACATGGCTCAAAATCATACCTCATCCAATGCCCGGGTGTTCAAAATTCGAACGACGTATCTCACTCGAATGCTACGAGGCGGCACTCCCCGAAAACTTGCATACATGCAATTGCAGGTTCTCTGATGACGCAACGCATCCCCTGTTATTGATCCAAAGCGTGGCAGATGGAATTCGAACGTTATCCCTAGAATCCTCTGAGACAAAACTCACTTAAAATTGCTGTGAAGGGAAATTGGGGGGTCTCTGAAGATGGGAAGGATCTCCTCTCCTTTATCTGATAGACATGAGTTCCTAATTTGTACAGAGTGTCTCAAATGAGTATTATAGAACCGAACCTGTTGAAATTTGGCATATTGGGAAATTCGGGGATTTGGGGAAGGGGGGGTGAATGCTGGGACGCACTCAATATTAATGATCCGAAATATGACTATTGAAAATTCTAGCTGCGTGTTTCATTTAAATGCTTTGGGACGTAAGTCGCCTAACCTCAAATACGAAGACGTGAATGTTTCACGAGTACCAGCTAGTCCTTGTATTAATCGCATTCGTGAAATCGTCTTTTCGTACTCCGATCGCGAAGTGAGTGCTTTTTGATAGTACTTGAAGTACTTGAAAAAGTAATACTTGTTGACATATAATGTTCAGTTTTGACTGCGATTTCCTACATGTTAAACGGTTATTACACGTATAACTGCCAATTACTTCTGCCTTCCTTTCTGGACCACGAGCCAATTGCAGTTTCCCGTGTTCGGCACGACTTCATTGACGGAAGAAATAGAAGTCCATTTCGACGTTCAGGAATTCGACATAGTTGGTAATCGACTATCGGAATGTCGACCTGTGTTTTTCGTCGGGAGACGGATTGAAGATAACAGTAACAAGTAAACTGCCGCGCTTTTTCATATGAGAAATTGCAGCGCAATCGTAATTTCTCACGATCAGAGGAGCTTACCGAAGACCGATTTCGTCTCTTAGACTGCCTCGGCGTGTTGGAGCCCGTCAATGGGAAGTTCCTAGTAAGCCAATCGCAGCTTCTCCGCGATTTTTCGTCCTTTGAAAAGTTATTGCATTTGAAATTGAACCTTTTAAAAACGTGGCAGAAGCCCTCCTTATTTATCTGAAACGTCATTTACAGAGAAGCGCAGGGCTCGCACGATATCAGATGGAGCTTAAAAAGTGGGTTTGTTAAATAAAATAAAATAAGCCTGCTCCTTTTCTGGAGACGGTCGTGTCTGCTTGAATGAAGAGTCTAGCCAACAGGATTTTCCACTCCAATAATAGCGGATGCCTCATAAAAACCCGAATTCCCATATAGATCGTGGAGGATATCGAAGATGCGAAGCCGTCGAGAGTGAGCCTCACCTCTCCCGGCGTCCTGGAGGTGACTCGACTCGACTCACCTTGACTGACTCGGTGTCCTTGTGATGCGCTTCCGACTGAGAGAAATGTATATAGGGTTCCTAGATGGGGGGGGGGGAGGTAAACGTTATGTGCTTAAGTGTATCGTTGACACTTCAATATTTTTAATTTGTAAAGTTTTCAATGGGGGGAAAAGTTAGGTAATTCCATTTGACCCTTGCTGAAGCAGGAAGAGGAAGGGGTAAAACTGTTCTGCCTTCGCTCTATCCTTGCATGAGAAAATTATCTTGACTCTGGAGAGGAAAACGGAGTCTCACTACCCTTCCTGCCCCTCCCTTGGGACTGGACGGAGCAGAAGAGACAATTTTCTGGATCGGGAACCCATTCCTACATCTATTGGGAGCGAGCAGGAAAACAGAAAAGGAAAGAGTAAATAAAAACTTTCCGTTTTAACGATTTCAGGCCGGGCATTAAAAAAAGGCTCTTGCCATCACGGCCTGTTTTTTGTTTTTTTTTTTGTCTTTTTTTTTTTTACGGACATAAATGTGCCATCTCTCGGTGGCAAAAGGTACTACAAGGACCCTGCTACATGCTGGTACTGTCAACATCCCGTCTTCAAATGGCTGTGCCCGTACAATCTATTAACAATTTACTTTCAATTGACGGGTACCCAACCCCCCTCCCCGCTCGTCAATCCGACACTGACAAAGGTTTCATTTTCTGATGAGATTACCTTCTCTACGGCATACTGGTAGACAGGCAGACATGGAGCGAAGCAAAACCCAATTTTTTCCGTCTGAATTTTTCTTTAACCTATCGGGAACCGATGTAATGCGGGAGTCAGAATTCTCGAGATTTCTTTTCACTCGACTCATCGCGATCGGATCGTGCACACGTGATCCGATCCTGGCTCGCTCATCGTGACTCACATGCGCGTTTCACGGGATTTTTGCAACGAGGATCCATGAAATCGATTTGACAAATTTCAGTGAAGTGTTTTTATCTCGAGCAGGGATGCGTGAAAGCCCCAGCGGAAAAAATGCGTCGAAAATCGCAAAATCGCGATGGTCGCATCGGCAAGATCCGAGAATCGTCTTTGAGGAAGGTCAACGATTAGCAGTTTTTCTTTCCTCCCTTGTTTTCGCTTTTAATTGCGCCCTGCCTCAGCGTTTCCTCTATTTCCTCAGCACTTCTTGCCCGGTCATTCTTAGTAATTATTATCCGTAACTCTCGTGCAATCGGATATTTATAGACATTATAGACCGATCCAGAAAAACACGGGGATGATTGCTTTGATGGTGGAAAAACGTGGGCGCTTTTCCATCGCAGAAAATCGTCCAACGTTTCCGCCTTTTTCCCACTCCCGATTCTTTCTGTCTCTGGCAGCAGCGGAGTCTAAATAACCATGCGACGTCCGAAATGAGCCGAAATCTTACTTGAATTTCATATCTCGATTTCTAGATTAAATACCCGAAATGAAAGCATTAACACTCCCCCTCGCTGATAGCCGCATCAGAGTGGAAATCCGACTGATAAAAGCCGCACGGCCATCAGAGCCTACAATAACTTCTGTGATCGGAAAGACACCAGTCGAAGAACATAAAAACCGGGTGGAAATTTTTCCTGAAGGCGCATCGACTCCGCACCACCCACCACCACCCACCACCCCCTTCGCTCGTCGAGGCCCGAATCAGAGGCGAGCCTCGCCCCTCAGCCGTTCTCCTTGCATTCCTGGCGGGGGGCGATGCGGAGTCACTTCCTCCCACGGGGACGCGATGACTGGGAAGCCTTTACCAATTGCATTCCTTCTTTTGATGAGGGTCACTCGAAATCAGTCGCTCAGGTGCTTCGTTCCACAAAAATGGAATACTTGGAGGCTTTCGTCAGATATGTCAATTTATGCGTGTGTGCGTATTTAATCGCGATTGTCCTCGAAACTCGACGCTGGTTTTATTTGCCAGTGAAACTGTGCCCTTCAAACACCTGAAAAACGCAATTACTGTTTCCCCACCGCTATCCCGTCGAACAACCACGCCAATACACCCAGTGTATTGGATCCCCTGACTCATCGAAGCGCGGCGAGCGGACACAACGGATGGCGAAGACGACTCAAGGGTGAAGCAAGGTGAAGAGTGACCAAGCAAAAGGAAGGAGTCTGATGTCATCGCCGTCATCCCCCCTCCCCGAGAGGCGGGTTCTGGTCGGGAACTGGATCCCGTATTCCAAGTCCATCCTCCGATCCTCCATCGGTATCGTCCAGTGCAATCCCGATGCTCCTCGCCACTCCTCGCGAGAGTGCATCAGTTTTTCTCATTTCTTCGCAGGAGCGCTGAGTGCGTCGCTCGTGTGTCAGAGGATTCGGAACGGATTCGCCCAGTTCAGGGACCGTCTCCGCGCCTGCTTCCACTCCTTTCGGCGTTACATCCTCATCGCAGGTTCGTCTCGTTCTTTGCGCACTCTTTTCCTTGCAGCTCCCATTCCATGTGCCATTCCATATTAACAGGTGGCTCGATCCCGAGATGGCCGGGGCACAACTATTTCTTTACGTAACCCACATTTGCCTTTTCTAATGTTGTCACAGTACAACCGTCATTCAGTTTGGAAGTTGTTGCTAAATATATTTTTGAAATGAAGTTTGCATATGAGAAAAGGAACAGAGGGAAGAATAAACGCATAGGCCGAAAAACGCCTCTTCGGTACCTTCTTCATCCAAGACTTTCTACTTTGGCTTTCTTCCTTTCTCTGTTTTTTTTTTTTTTTGCAGACTGTCACTTACTTTTAATAACTTTTCAAACCGCTTCAATGATTTCTCCTTAAAATTCATCTCAGTCTGATAGTGTCTAGCATGCGGCATGTCTAGAATATGAAATAGATCTCAACGCGTAAACGATCCCATTCTCGAACGTACCTTGCGTTCGATTGGAGACCACAATATTGTCACACGATCTCTTCCATTAATCAGGAAACTGAAGGAAAAAAATAACAGAGGAGTCTACATGAAAATCCAGTTACGAGGTTGGGGAAGGAAAAACATTTTCATGGTCTCTACAAGGGGGGAATGAAGAGTTCCCATACTTTCAAAAATATCACACCTGTGTGAGCCTATCAAAAGTTTCAGGGCCGGCCCTTATACCAGCAAACAATGCACAGAAGTTAGGTTTCTGCACGATCCCCTTCGAAAAAGTTACCTCAACTTGCGACACACTTCTCCCCACGTTTGTGACGAACTCGGAGCACTGGCTCAGTTGTCTGCGCAGTTTCTTCCTCGAGGCTTGTTATCCATTGCATCCGTCGTCTTCAATGGATATTCACCTTTCGTAATCCTCCAGATCGTCGTGTGTGTGAATAGAACAAGCGATTTCGCAACAGGCGGGAATCCATCGAAGATGAGTAAAGCAGTGGACGGGAAAGTCCAACCTCATATTGCAGTAATTTGCCATTTATCATTTTTCCTCATAAATAATTTTCTGGTTTGGAAAGAGATTTGACTGCCCTTGTATCATAAAGTAACGGGTCGAAGTTAATCCAGAAGAATAGTTTGCTGCTATTTGAAACGGGTGGATCGATGGAAGAAGTGTGCATTGGTTATGGGCGATTATGCTGAAAAGGTGCAAGAGGATGAGTAAAAGTCAAAAGTTCATTTGTATGAGTGATATTCCTGAAAATCCAGGAACTTTATTTTTATTGCTCCCCCCCCCCCCGTGCTTCACTACGCACACACACATAATAGTGCTATTACCTAAAGATACTTGCGTTAATTCATCCCTTCACGAAGGTTTGCCAAGGGTATGACGAAGGCACAGAACCAACGTCCCACAAATGATTGCACCATTATTCATTGAATCGCCTTCCTTTGGACAGAGATGGTGCTACCGGCAGTGTGGATCGACCGGCAGTTGAGCCGCTTGTTGGGAAAACTGGGCCACGCGGTCGGAGAGAGACCCAGCTCCTTCATCTTCGGCACTCTTTTCCTTTTCCTTTTTTTCGCCACTGGGATTCAAAACATGAACGATAACTACGTCGGCGACGTGGAATGGCTCTTCACGCCCGTGCACGGGCGGGGGAAGGCGGAGGAACGCGTCTACAAGGAATACTTCGAACAGAGGATCCACAGCGAACGACGAAGAAGACGTAGTCCTCGCTACGACCTCGACCCCGATCCTCTACGAGACCAGATGACGCGACGCGATTTCACGGATGACCTGGCCTCGAGTTGGCTGGGAGGACCAGATCGCAAGAAACTCGCGAGACCCTCTAAACCCCAAACGAATCATCTGAACGATTGGAACATCTGGGGAAGCCCCGTCTACTCGAACGAACTCGAAGAGGCGGAAGAGAAAGAAATTCGCTCCGGCCGAGGCAGAAGGAACGTGAAGGAAGACCTAAAGGAGAAGGAGGGCATCTGGGCGATGGCCAGGGTTCTCGTCGTGGCCAAGGACGAAGGGACCATGCTCAGGAATGACACCCTGCATGAGTTTCTTTACGTCACCAACAGACTCCGATCGGTCAAACTCAAAGCCAATGGCAAGGTTTGTGAAATCTAAAGAAATTAATTATTCGCTAAGTGGCTCGCGATATAGTGCTCGACCTGTTGTTAAATTAAGGCATTTCTCGTTTCTTGCCCGTTTTCATGATCGCCCTGCACCACTCCATAGGAATATACGTACGAAAACATCTGTGGGAACCATTGCTGGGACCCGAGAGGAGAAATCCAAAATTTCATCGACCTCATGCCCCGTTACGAGGCGGGAGAGGTTAACATCACCTACCCGGCCTTTCTGGACCCGGTGACCTTGAAGACCATGGTCCTCCCCACCATTTTTGGCGGGATCGAGCCCTCGGACGACGGTGCCGTGGTGACCTACGTGAAGGCAGCTGCCGTGACCCAAGTCGCCGCCTCCAAGCCCAGGGAAATCTTCGAGCTGTACGTTTGGTCCTCTTAACACTTCGTTTGAGCTAGTAAAAAATCATTTGTGGAGAAAGGCGAATATGCGATAATGACGCAAAACGACCTCGGGTTTAGACATAAAACTTGACCGAAGTGGCACTAGCACCACGCATGGCTCGTTTTAGAGGCATTCCAGCCCAAGTGATGAGATGGTGGTTGCGCGTACGACATGGATTTGCGTTAGAAGATTCATGTATGGTGACCTCTGACTTTCGAAAATCTGTCGAATTTCAGCGTTCTAGCCAAAACGGTTCTCGAGATATTCTGCTCCAAAGTTGGCTCCACGGGTAATAGTGACTCCATGGGTTGAGGGGCTGTCTTCGCCCCTAATTGAGCTATACAAGTGTCATTGAGCTCGAATGAAAGTTTAGATATCCTAATTCAGATTTCACTGAGATTATTCCATCATCTTTATTACGAAGATGCTGCAAATTTTCAAAACTTTGGGAAAAGTTCCAAAATTTATGTTAAAATTTCGAACAGGAAACACGGCAACACAATGAGCTTTGGCAACATAGCAATTCTAAGCAATAGCTAAAACATCAGCGAATTAAGCATTGATATTTCACCGACTCACCTTATTCCTTTTCTTCATTTCCCGTTTCAGACAAGGTACACACTTGAATGAGAAGTCAAAGAGAGGTTTTCCTTATACTGCGAGGAGTTGCGAGTCAAATCACTTTCCCAGGTTTGGAAAGGAAAGCGATTTTTGACTCTCATCTCCTCGCAGTGAAAGAGAAGCTCCGATAGACATTACGTTCTAGCGTGTATCTTGTCTGGAAGGGAAATGTAGAAAGGACGAACGGGATTGTTTGAAAATTTAAAACTTGATTCGCTGATGTTTGAAAGAATGTACAAGATGGGGAGAAAAGGTAAGTCTCTGCCATAAATATACTCAGACCTGGTTGTGTCACCAGGATTCCTATGCTTAGAAAGGTTTATAAAATATTGAATATTTCAAGAGGAGAACTAGGAAGTTCATTTTATAAGAAAAAACAATCAGGCAAACTAGAAGATATAAAGTAAGAGCATTAGTGATACCTCCCCGGAAAGAGCTGCGAGAGAGCTTTCATTTCATACTATCAATAGTTTCAAGTTTATGTTGTTTGAAAGAGGAAATATAAGCCATCTAGTGGAAAGAAAAACGGCTAAATCGGACTTTTAAAATTTAATTTGCCATTGCTTCAAACAAAGTAAATTGTTAATATTTAGCTATTTTCATTGGTTACAGGCTAGACTTGTTATGCTGGAAAAGTTATTGTGCTAGTGTGTTTCCGATTGTTAATACTTTTAATGCAAATTTGGTAATTTTTTCAAAGTTTTGAAACTTCTTATATTCGCGTAAATGGTAAAAGAAAATGCATCAGGAAAACCTGATTTACCTTTGTCTCAGGTTTCATTCGAGTCCAACAACACCTTTCTAACTCGATTGAAGGCAAAGATACCTAGTTTGACTCAAGAAGTCACTTTTTCCCCTGGAGGGGGGGGGGGGGGCCACTAACTTTGGGGCAGAAAATCTCCAGCGCTGAAACGTGACATTTTTTACGTGAGTCAGGGAGGTCAACAAACAAGAATTTTCTTCGAGCTAATCCCTGTTGGACGCGAAGCAAAACTTCCTGAAATTTGAACACTTGCAGCTGCAGCGCCTCTTCATTTAATTGTTCTGCAAGCTATATCCCGAAGTATTCCTCTGAAGCTGTTGCGTGCCGATGAACTTGGATGAACTCTAGCAGACAGGTTCTCAAAGGACGTCATCTCCATCTTCACGAGTCCAAGCCAAAATTTACTTTACTTCAGAGGTCTCTATCTTTACGGCGAACGACGGAAATGCGATTGATGTTTTGCCGTTAAGAATTATCGGAAAACCCTCGGCGACCACTCGCTCATAGCAGCATATATTTATTTGTTCCATCGGACGCCATTCGCTCCTGGCAGTTGCCACGTGAGGGCACTCCGTTTGTAGGCGCGCTCTCTGGATGGCAGCGGCTCCTATCAACCTCGCGATTGCTTATTCCCGGTTATTACGTCATAGTTATTTGTGAATGCGCTTCCCGAATGCTAAGATCCCCGTCGCCGCGATCGAAGGTCGTGTTCTCATCGGACGACCACCACTTGTTCCAGCGGTTACGAGTGGCTGCTAGTAGCGGAGACGGAGATGAACCAACTACGAAAGGAGCTGGAGCACCTGGACATGTACTTCTACTCCACCCGGATTGCGACTGACCAATTAGACAGAGGATTCAACGCCGTGTTCCCTTTCGTCGCAGCCGCCATCATCATCCTCATCGGCTTCTCCACCCTCTGCCTCGTGACTCTGGATCCGGTCAAGTCCAAGCCCATGCTGGCCATCATGGGAGTGGTTTCGGCTGCGATAGCCACGCTCGCTTCCATGGGCTTCCTCATTTACATCCAGATCCCCTTCATCGGGCTCAACAAGGTCGCGCCCTTCCTCATATTGGGTAATAAACTCGCCCTCGATTTAGGAAATATTTGGCACAGTCTTTCCGGCGCGTCATGAATGCTTACGTCATACCATTCCGACCTAGATACTTCTGAAAAGGTGTCTTTTCTTACATAATGCTTGCAAACTAATTTTCATGGATGGAGTACATCATACCTCTTTTCAAAAGTCAATAGTAAGTTGAAGGCGCTCTTCTTCCTAAGTGCATCTGTGAGCGGAGTCAGGAAGATATGATTCACTCTTCGAGTTGGAAAGATGTTCCAATAATTTTCGGAAAATGAACTGTTGGGTCGTAAAACTTGGGATAGGAGCAAGTTTAGAAATCTGAGCGGGTATGCAAAAATTTAGTATGAAAAACGTTTAGCAGTGAAGCCATGAATCCATTGGAAACGTAGACTTCTTTTTCTGTATGGTTTGTTGTTCTAAAACTTCTCCTAAACCATGGAAAATTGTTTGCCGAGATTAGGTATCGACGCAGCTCTAGAACTGGACATGGGCTTTCCATTAAAAATATTTAATGGTGAAGCCGCAGAAAATGTCTGAGTGAGGATGAAAGGACGCGCGCGTGCATGAATGACCGGTCGGATGGTCGCCTGCTTCGCGACCATCTCGTCTCCATTCGCTCGTGGAGGATCCTGATCGTGCCGACGTCGGTCGTAGGGATCGGGTTGGACGACACGTTCGTGATCGTGGGAGCGTGGAGACGGACGAATCCTCGGAACGGCGTCTCGGACCGAATGAGGGCGACGTATGCGGAGGCGGCCGTGAGCGTGACCATCACTTCGCTCACGGATGGGATCAGTTTCCTCATCGGGGCCCTCACCGACATCCCCTCCATCTACGTCTTCTGCACTTACACAGGTGAGTGGGCTTTGGGTGTGCTGGTTCGTGGTAAGGGGAGGGGGGTCGTCTTTATCCTAAGTGTTGTGCTGTTTTTCGTACCAACGTTTCCCTACCATCGGCTGATAATGATAGCATTGATACACAACTTTTTAGTCACTTTGGAGACGGCAAAGATGAATAGTCTAAAGACGCCATTTCTTTCTTGTATTGGGAAAAAAAATCAAAAGTAAAAAAAAAGCGTTATCGCAGATCCATGTTGAGGATTTTCCTTCTCCCTTATCTCGCGTTTTCACGGCCCCGGAAATACGCTCGCTAGAGATAGTGGAAACAAACAAAGGCATCGATGGAGATTTCTCAGCTCCAACATGGCTCTCCCCTTCCAAAAAAGAGGAATAAGTCCTCCCAAAAGATGAAAGATTCCCCCTTCCTTGACAGGGACGGCGGTGGTATTCCTCTACTTTTGCCACCTGACCTTCTTCGGGGGATTCCTGGCCCTCACGGGATACGCAGAGCAAGCCAATCGCCATTCCATCACCTGCTTCAAGGTCCCTGCCAAGTCCGAGGCCCGTCAGTCGCTTTCCACATTCCGTACATTCGAGTCGCCGCCTGTTGACTTTAATCCCACGAATTTTGAATTTGCGAAATTTGTGTACATAC